ATTTGTACTCACATATTTGTACAAAATGCTTGACTCACTCTCACATACACTTGGGCCCCACATGAAATAAAAAATGCCAACATTTGGCCCCACCCTCCCATTGTGAGTGTAAGTAAACCATTTTGTACAAAAATGTGTATACATCCAGCACTCTCCTTCTTATAATGGGTGTCATTTACTCTGGTTTTCTTTTTCAATCAAAATTCTAATTTTTATGCCTAGTGGAAACAAGATGACTTTTCATAAATTCCACTTTCACGGGGGCAGGAAGCATCTGGTGAGTGTAGCAGTAGCAAAAACATGGCCGGAGAAGGTAGCGGTGTCAAATGAGGATGCGGCCGACTCCACTGAGGACATGATAGAGCAATTGACTTCTAAGGCAGCATTTGGACCTTCATTTTCTACATTTGGGTTGTCTGGAACAAACCAACTAATAATACAGTCTTAATGCTGTCGGAAAATTGAGTTCTTGTACTTAATGGTGTTTGATACTCGGATCTGTCAATTTCGGTCTTCAGAAAATTTGGAGACGATGTTTTGTTTTATAGTGTTGGTATTAGTTGAATATATGTCTTTATATGTTGGTGTTGGATGGGAATGTTGTTGTTGTATGCTTTTTATGCTGTACAAAGTCAAAAAAATTGGGATTTGAATATGTTTGTGCCATTTTTAATGATACCATGTCCTAAAGAGACGGCAAATATGTTTTTGGTTGAAAAATTGTAGGGTTGATGTTCTTATTAATTTTGTACTGATGTTGATTACTTTCTTTTTTGTTTCTTTGAGGTTAAGGTATTTTAAATTTGTACAAAATAAATAAATAAAATTAAAGGTGTGAATTTTTAGAATGATAAGTCTAGGTGTGGAGACCCCTATGTATCCAAATTATGTACACCAAGCATAACTTTTTTTAGAATTTGTTGGGATGTCATTTTAATCCCCTATCTTAACAAGGGTATTGTTCTTGCTAATGTACATTTTTCATAAGCCTTGACACAACTAGCTTTTGAATGATTCCCCATTTCTTAATTAATTGGCCCAAAAATATAATGTAAAGAAATGTTATTAAAATGGGGAAAATGCAAAAAATTACACAAAATTTGAGGACCAAACTGAATTTTTCTTTATTTTACAAAATCAGGATTCAAATTTCACAACTTAAAAATATGTTCAACATAGCAACATAATTGTTCCCAAAATTTTCCCCCATTATTTCCCAATTTCGAAGGCAAAGTTTCTCAAAATTGGGAGAACCAATTCCATTAGAAGGTGACCGGTAATATACATATTCGTGCCCCCTCTTTTCAACCTGAACATAAACTGCATATTGAGAACGAAAATGAAAGAAATCAGAAGTAATTTTATATTTATTTTGTTATTTACTTTTCAAAATTAATTATTGCTTGATGTTGGATCAATCTTTTTAAACTTAACAAAATGAAACTATGTAGAATTTGAGTTACGACTCGCTAATTTGAGTTCAGATTTTGCTCATGTGAGATTAGTGTTTACATTGTACATTCATCTCTTTAACAACTAGAGAATATTTGATATTCATTCTTTTTGCGATATTTGTTGCAATGTGATAAGTGTGTTATACACGGGTTGTCATGACTTTTGAAACGGATGAATTATCGTTAATTGAGCACACATATACTTACTTTTATATAATTATGTCAATAATTGGAAAAGTTCATACTTGAATGTAATTGGTGCGAAGACAGATGATTTTGAGCTTAATTTGAGTTGATTCATAGTTATTGAAGGCTAATTGAATTGTACGTGATCAATAAGAATCATTGAGATAGCAATTACAGGAGATTCACAAGTTTTGAGAGTTAAATCTAACATTTGAAAATTTTAGGACTTCATTGTAAACTTTTGCAACTTCATACGGACCGAATTCGGACAATTGTGGATGATGAGGATAAAAGTAAAAAAGATTGAAAGATGAAAGACTTATGGTACAAATAAGAGGGAACTCAAGTTGAATTAAAGAAGAAATCCAGGGACCAAATTAAACGAGAATTAAAAAGACATGCCTTGCAATTGTAAGGGTCAGATTACGCAATCGTAAGCATGGGAAATTGACCACCTGTATGTGAAAAATGCAAACCATGATCGCATGGTATTCTGGGGCAATCCAAATTTTCTTTTCTATTTTAATTCAACTCTACAATAAATGCAACTGGGGCACGAATTTTGATCTCATTTTGGGATTATAAATACATGCTTTAATCTATCATTCAGAAGGAGAAGCTTTTGATACATGGAAAATAATCGTATGCGTCAATTCATACAATTGCTTGGAGTTCAAAGAAGAAGATATTCAAGAAGATTAATTAAGAACCATTGTACA